ACTTTTGTAGATATCCAAATATTGATTTGTGCTGCAATGCTTGGTTACCATTTCCTATTTTGTTTTACAGAGGATCTGTGTGTAACGTTCTTCTGACATGCTGCAAAGACAACATTTGCCGTTTGTGGGCAGAGACGTTACTGCCCAATGACAGCCTGTTATGTGGAGATGGGTTCAATCAAAGAGTTGAGCCAGACGGTTTAAATAATTTCAAAAGAAACCCTTCAAACAAAGAACGAGTACAGAGTGCATTAGAGGTATGAGCAGTAAAGAGTTTTTTTGTAAGTGTTCATGTTACTAAGGGTATCAAGATGGTGGGGATGGACTTGAGGTTTTTAATCCATAGAAGTCCTGCTAATTGTTACTAAGCATGTAACTATATTTAAGTTTTTTTTTTAAATCCGCTATCAAGGTCCTGCTCCTGTAGACAGAGCTTAAAAAAAAATTGTTTTAGGCCACACTTTAGAAAAGTAAGGATGGAGATCAGATTATTACAAATGCAGAATGGTGAACAGTTTTCTTTTAAATAAACCCACTTAAATCTGAACTCCAGCCTTACCTTCAGTCTTGCACAGTTCTCAGGCTCCTCTACTGTACTGAAATTGCTTATTTTGATTTCATTGCGCATTGTAAGCTGCACCACATCATATAGATTTCACCACATTTCCTGGCTAGAGGACATTAGCATGACCTTGCTCCTTCCTCCCCAGGCTTGCTGTGCCTGACCTGCTCTTTTCATTCATTGGATTTCAGTTCTTTGTCATGGAGGCTCAGTATCATGGCCGTTAACTATGGCGGTTTGCATGCAAATACAGCCTGCCTAGTAATACCCACTCCTCCAGACTGACACATCCACTTATCAAGGATGTTTGATATTTCTGTAACTCCTCCCAAGATCCATCCCCACTGCTTGTATCGGGGCTGAGGGCTCTTGAGAGGAGTATTAAGGCAGGGAGCACAGATGTTTTCAGGAAGTCACGTTCAGCACCTTGCCAGTCCCTCCCATCAGCCCTGATCTGCCTGCATTCCATAGAAAAGCACAGAAGCCCAGTGATGATTTCACTGGTTTTAAAATAAGGTATGTAATGGGAACAAAGGTTTAATTTAAAAATGTAATTAGCATGTTGATAGAGGGAAAAGAAGAACCAGGGCATGCAAAAGAGAAGTTGAATAAACTCTTCTTCTTTTTTTTTT